GTGGCATGAGTAGGTTGCCAAGCAGCAGCTGCTTTTGCCAAGCACCTTGTTTGGAGCCGTGACTGCTCAGCACGTCTATTTGTGGCATGGAACGAAACACTCAGCGGGGCTGTCCGGCCACCGAGCCTTCTCTGTAAGAGTCCCCGTCTGCCTCTGGCAGCCACCGGCACGGGCAGCCGGATTTGAAAGCTCTCTAGAGAAAGCAGCGTATGAGCAGGGCGGCAGTCGTCCGTCAGCGATGATAAAGCAGTGCGGCTATTTTTGCTGTTGTTTTCCAAAGTCCTTCCCCGTAGCCGCGGTGGGACACTTCCCCTCCCCTCTTCTGCCGTTTCCTTTAGCACCTTCCCCACTATCAGCTTTGGCTTCTGATAAGATCCTCAGTGTGCCAGGAGGAGCCTCTCTGTCTTCTTCCTTCCTGTGTACCTTTTCCAGTTAAATACTCAACTTCTCCCTTTTCTCTTCTCCTTATCACTGCTTCCTCAACATCAGGCTGGTAGGTTTTGTCCCAGATCCCAGGGAATGCCCTTGGGAAGCTGCTGCTGCAATCAACAACCCTCTACACGCTTCTCGCTTCCCATGGACGGCTTCACCTCGGAGTAACCTAGAATTCCCTAATGAAAATGCCGTGTATTTTTAACAGCATATTTCAGATCTTGGCAGCATGCCTCCAGCAAAATGACAGAAAAGAGAAGGTGGCCAGCTGCTCTGCATTTGTGGATTACCAAACCTTCATAGTCGAAACTGTTTTGCTTCAGTAGCAAAAAGGCCCTTTTTAATCTTCTGGCAAGCTCCTTTCTTGCTTAATGGAAAACTAATCAGGAGTAATTGCACCAGCAGCAATGGCAATAGGCTTGGAGAACCAGGCAGCTTCTACTTATGGCACATATGGAGTCCTATTACCTTGTAGGACAGCTTCTTGAAAAGAGCTAGGAAGATTAAAACAGGCTTTTTGGGTGGACTTCTTATTGCACTGACTTGCTGTACTGTGCTTTGCTACAGCCATGCAGAAGACTGCACAGTAGCAAGCCGAAGAAGCAAGCAAATATTTTCCTCTTGACCACAGAAGAAGCGAGGCAGCAGAAGTGGCTTCCAGCCACCTTGGTAGCCTGTGGATTTCAGGTTACTGCAAGAACTCAAGTATGCACTGAGAAGGAAAGTGTTCAGGGCTCTCTGATGCACAGCAGCAGCCTCCCAGGAGAATTGCCTGTGATCTGGGTCAAAATAGAAGAAAACAATTGAGGAGATGGTCAGTGATAAGGGGAAGAGACAGACTGACTTGCTGTTTCTTATCTTAGTGGCTTGGTGCACCTGCAGTAATCCTGGGTGGATCAGCATGGTTAGTTTATTGCAGTCAGTCTCGCTGAAGTTTTTCATACCCACAGAAGCTCAGCATTGACCTGCGCAGGAAATGTTGGGAAGCAGGATGGAGAAGAAGAGCCAGCATGACTTATGTCTGCATCTCTGTTGGAGAACAGCACTCGTTTTCATCACTGGTGCTCCAGTGGGTGCAGAAATGATTTCTTCCAGCGCTGTTTCCTGCAACGGAGCTCTGGCAGGATCATCGTGGCCTAGGGCTACAACCTGAGCATCGCTTGATCTGTAGCTTGCTCCATGACAGATAAAAATAGGGTTTGAACTCCAGCCAAGCTGTGTCAGCGGTGAGGGTGCAACCTCTTTAGCCTGTTACCGCTTGTGACACCTGGTAGCTCTGGTGCAAGATGGATAATCACGCCTATGGACGGGTAAATAATCAGGGTCATGCTGCCTGGGTCCCACCATGATGTCCTGTGGTGCGAGGGAATAGTTTGCCCAGGGG